GGATAGCGGCCCTCGAGGACTGGAGTTTGACACCCCTGATTTACATTTTATTCTAGTCATTTTATCTAACATTTCTTTTTATATGCAGCATTTCCCCAGACTCCATGTTTTGTTCTTGTTTACAATAAAGCTTTTAAAAAAAAACAGACACCCAACAGTGCTTTTTAGCTTTATTATAAACAAAGGAATGTGCAGTTTGTTGAATACAGAGCAAATTGTGAGCTGAGCAGGATGTATTTGTAAATTTGAGCCTCTCTAAAATGTAACTTGGGTGTGTACGATAATTTTCCTCAAAATACGATAATTTTGAGCTGCTGATACGATGATTCAACATTTCCCATCTGGCAACGCTGGTGTGTGTTCACATTTCACACCAAACGTGCAAGCTTTTTGTGCATGCTCCATGTCATGTTCTTTGTTTTTGGTGCATTCTCATGGCCGAGGGGGTGTTTCAATGGTTGCATATCAGGCGCACGAAGTGATACAGTGACATGCTCAGCCTTGTTCGTCAATTCAGCTTTTCAAAAGTGTGATGTGGGGATAAAGACCTGCTACAAAGGCCATATTTACACTACGCCACTCTTGTCTCTTTGTTGGATTTGTTTTATGTTCYTAATGCTATAGCCCTTTGTTGCACACGGCCGTGTGAAACATGCTTTGTGCAGAAAGTTTCGGCTTCTTGAACAGTAACAAACAAATGAAGCAGTGTTTGCCAAAGCTCGCTGACACAGTATCTGCAAGAGTCTGCTTTTAGACACAACACATGATCTGTTCACTCTGCTTCAGTCTCTCCCTGTTCAAGAGAAGTGAAACTTATGGGATGCGAGTGCACTTTTAAGTAAACACAATCACGTGCAACAAGTTGTAATGCTGTAACGCAGCCGCTTCACTCAATGAGATTTTTTTTTAAATCTTCTATCATCTGCAGCACATGAATCTGCAGCCATTGCAAGGAATTAAACAAGTACATACAAGCTGACTCAGCAGTGAGCAAAGTGGAACAGCTGGGACATGTTTGGCAATTATTCCCGAAAAAACACAGAGCTGAACAGAGCCAATCTCTCCATCTTTTTTGGGTTTTGAACTGCAGTAATTCAGCACTGAAGTGACCAGACCATCATAAAAAAAGTTATAAGAAAATATTTTTTGCAACACACTAAACTATTGCTCAAGCTGTGGTGACAAACCCAACTAGGCCCAGCTCGGAGCTCCTGCAACTACATGGCAGTTCTGACCTCAGGTTTCCTTAACTTTCAGTTCATGTAAGCGACAGGCTGTTTTTAATACGTTCGCCATTTCTGGAGGGCGAGGGTGTTCTGCTGCTTTTATTAACTAGTAGAAACCTCATCTGCACATCTCTCTGGTGAACCTTTTGTCAGTAAAGCTGACTTCAACAGTTTCAGCTTTCAAGCATAAATATTAACGAGGAAGGTATCCTTTTCCCGAATCACTAACTACACTATTTATTTATTTTTTTCCATTTTGCAATTATTTTCTGTAGAAAAATGTACAATATAAGATGACCCCCCTCCCACATGTCAAAGCTGTGACCTGTGAAAACAGTCCGGCCTAATAAATAAATCAAAAGAAATGGACACCACATCCAGCCACTCTCATCCAAGACATAAATGTTTTATGTCACGCAGGTAAAATTAAAAACAGAGATGGGCACACAGGTTTTGGGATTGGATTTGAAGTAATTCTGCAATAAAACTCTAAATTAACAAAAGGTAAAAGAGAGGAAAGAAAACTTCTGACACCTATAAGATGTGGTGCATGCATATATATTCACTTATCCTGCTTTAAGGCCACAATCATTACCTTCTGAAACCACAGAATTAGTTAAACAAGACCCAACTGGATGAGCTGAATATAGAGAAAATAAACCTTAACTCCTCAAAGAAAACATTCTGTTGAATATCACCCCTGTTTTATTAATCCCCAGTCTGTCTGCTTCTAACTACTGACTGATAATTTATCTAATTTTAGAACAAATAGGTTTTTTTTGCTGCACAGTTATCCTGTTCGTTGTTAGCAGTGGTTGTGTAAATGAGCTAAAATCATCAGGATGTGTCCATGGAGCAGATTTAAGGTGACTTTTCTCGCTGATCTGGTTATGTGACATTTTTCCTTCTTTGGTTGTTCTTTCACCTGTTTTGTGTTTTGTTCTGTTTTTTTCTCGTACTGTGTGATTGGTCAGAACTTTAAGGACGTTCTTGCGGAAAGGCAGCTAAAGTACACTGGTCCCATTTGAACTGSTTCCTCCGAGGATCAGCTGGTRGAGGCTGTTAGAAAATACAACTCTTTATAACTGTTGCAGCAAAACTTATATGTCAAATGAATCTTACAAAAATTGTCAAAGAATTTGCAGGAGGTGCATGGAGGAGACAGCATGGAGACACAGGCGGCTCTCCGTGGCTGAGCTGTTTGACTTTGCACATTACTTGTGAGAGGGTATACTAGAAATGAAACAAAACAAAAAAAAAAAGGAAGGAAAAAGGTGCATCACAAGGTCTGGCAACCCAAAAACATTCCACGGTAATGACCTCAGGTGTTCTTGTAAACCTCATTACAAAGTTACCTGCACAAGAAGAAAATACTCAAATAATGCATCATTCATCAGGAGTGGCTGTAGCTCATACCGAACTTTGTCAAAGCTTAAATAAGATTTAAAACAGGCTCGGAAACCAAACCACCTGTATAATCCTTTTAAACATGTCTTGCATCACTTGCTAATTGTAACATAGTGTAACAATAAAACAAACAGGCACTGTGAATGATTGTAAGGGTGGATTTGCATAGGAGATCCAGCCCAAGTAGTCTGGTTTTGTTACTTTCATTTTGCCTTTGTGTTTGGTTTTATGACACAATTATTTGTCAGACTTTATGGCTCCAGACTGGAATGAGGGGAGAGACAACACATCTATTTTATTGCCTAAACAGAAAACTGATAAGTTGTTTATTACTGCACTGTAGCAAAAAAATATATATTTTTTTATTAGAGATGGTCAAGTAGAGCCATAGTAGTCTCATTTATTTTTCTTAAAGTATAGAGTTAGCCCAATTTAGTCACAACTTGTTTTTTTTTTCTTTCTGATTTTATCAGTTGGGTAACATATTCTGCAGAAACTTCAAAACTAAAAAGCAGAAGTTCTCTAGAAACAGAACTGATATGACTTCATTTTCATGCCTTCAGTCAACTGATTTGCCCCAAGTTCTTTTTTATTTTAAGCACACTGTGAAAAGAAAGAAATGCTTTTCTGCGCAACATGACGAGACTGTTGTCTTCACTAGTTTTTAGTTTTGAGTATTTAAGCGAAACTTGGAGTGGATATATTTTTTTAAATTAAAGATATATTTCAGGCAGGGGTGGCCAAATGAGGGTATTAATAATTTCCCAGGGGCACACAAAGTTTAATTAGGAGTTTAAATATGTTGTTTTCATTTGTAGGCAAATTGAAAAATGATATTGTGGGCGTTGAATAACTACCATTTTACAGTTGATATAAATAACTGAGAACAGTGCAGTTATTACTCAACTCATTAAACTAGCAATGCATTATGATCTGTTGACTGATATGTGTACTGATGTGTTTTAAAGTCACTATAAAGTAGATGAAAAAGTCCATTTCACTCCACACTGCAAAATTTCATACTTATAGTGAGTGAATTGACACTGTGCACATTCCTCTAAAGCAGTGGTTCCCAAACTTTTTATCATCTGACCCTCGAAATGTTCATGGCAAAAACTTGTGATCTCAAATATTACTGGTCTGAGTACGCAAACTTTGTTAATAACCCTAAAAGCAAAGGCTACACAAATATAAATACATATTTATACTTATTTTGTGTTTTCGTAATAATTATGGGGAAAATATTACACCACCAATTATTTTATGACCCTTTAAATCAGAGGAGCCCAAAGTGGGGCCCGCGGGCCAAATTTGGCCCGCCAAGCCATTTATTTGGCCCACCAACAGTTGCCGAAGTTACAAGGTTGTAACCTGTTATGTAGAAACATGGTGTTTCCATTGGTCAAATGACTATACAAAAGGGCTGTAGTGAAGGTAGTTTTTATTCTTGCTTCTGACTTTATATTTGATTTATTAGTATTAAACATGAAACAACAGCAAGAAATATTTAGATCAGATTTAACCCCACATGTAGATTTGCACACTTTATAAGGCCACAAAAACTCATATTTTKTCWATTTATGAAATATCCCATGAGCCTTTGCTACTTGAGCGTATGGCAGACTTTCTCCAAGTGCACAGACTAAAACAAAAGAGGACCATTGCACAGCTTAATGGTTAAAAATAAAGTACTTTACTTAAAAAGTATTTGTATTTCATGTATTATATAACTGCATTTGGCCCACAGACCTGGATAGATTTTCATTTTGGCCCTCTCAGGGAAAATGTTTGGGCGCTACTGCTTTAAATTGATTTCTGAAGTGCAGGGGTTCGCAAACTTTTTAGCCTTTGACCCACAAAATAACAGTAGCAGAGACCTGTGCCCACAACTATTTTTGGATGATAAACATTTCTATCAGGTCAACTAAACATGGGCATAATAACAATATTTATTATTCTACATTTATACATTTTGGGCAACTAAGGCAAAAATGTAATTAATTTAGAAAATCTTTTCATGACCCCACCTTGATGTTTCAGGACCCCACTTTGGGTCCCGACCCCAACTTTGGGAACCACTGCTCTAAAGCACTTTCTACAGCAGGTAAGATATTGATTGTTCATGACCTATTCCTCATATCAGAACAGACCATTTATTTTATGTTGTGATTTTTTTTTCAAAGAAAGCGGTTGCGAAAGCTGCACCAAGTGGACGAATTTCGTGGCAAAGAATGAAAAAATAAATCACATCAAACCCTTCACGCCTTACAACCCCAGCGCGCGAGGATTTAGTGAAAGCTCCGTGAATTACACGAATCTGTCACCAGTGTTTCTGTAAACGCCACACTGTCATGTGGCTTCTGCGGGTTTTGTAGAATTCTCCAAACAGGACCGAGTTCAAACGAAAAGAAACAAAGTCGAGGAGCCGAGTTTCACTTTCGTTTATGTTTTCAGAGAAACTGCGCGGCTGCCGCTAAGGAAGGGGGCGGGGCCTGTCTGGCATCGCTCAGCCACCATAAAAGTCAGAGTTTCGCAGCACTCTGACACATGTCAGCGGCCGGMCAGGAGGCTCAGCTGTGCTAGGAGGCTTGGAGGTTTTATTTATTTATTTGTTTGTTTGAAACCAAAAGGTAGTTCGTCCAGCCCGAGCTGCGTCGCTGTTCTCCTGCAGGATTCCTGCTTTGGCCCTCTGCAGCAGCAGCATTACTGGGATTTCTATTTTTGGGATTTAATTACATCAAGAGATCCATGAACAGCAGCTGTCATTAGAACAAAACGGTAAGACTTGTATATATTTATATATATCTTTATTTACACTGGTCTACTATTTTAACAGGCTTTTTAAATTAATTTTTTAATGGTCATGGTTGCTGCCTTTTTTAGGAGTTGTTTTTTTTTTAAGCCAAACAAACATAACATTTATTTAATTAAGTTGCARTGTGACACCTAATTGAAGTTATTAACGAGTATAAACAACAATGTGGTGGAAAAACTTGTTTTTGTTTTCAACATCTAGACTCTGAAGTTCAGAGTCTGAAGTTTTTGTCTCTTTTTGAAACACCATCTGTTAATCATTATCTGTTTTTCTTGGAAGTTTATAGTTTTTTGGAACTTGTAAGCACAAAGCTTTAGATGACCTTCAGTAATCACATGCTCCAGAAGTAGAACTATTTTTATTTGAAGTTTAGCTAATCTTTACCACCGGATTCTGACAAACCCAATTAGCATCTCAAAAGTTTTATACTCTTTGAAAACTCCCTTGGATTGAGTTCAGTTTCAGTTTGCAACGCTCRAAGATTCTGTGGCCATATTGTTGCCTTAAACCCAAAGATTTTAGCTTGACAGATCACAGATGAAAGTATGAAATACCAAGTAGAGATGTGGAAAATACACTGTGTGTGTGTGTGTGTGTGTGTGTGTGTGTGTGTGTGTGTGTGTGTGTGTGGCTAGAGACAGCATACAGTAAATTGGATGTGGGTTTACCAGCCAAACCACAGATTCCAGTCATATGTAGAACAGCTCAGCTTCGTGGAAAGTAGATAACGTTTCTGTCCTGTTAGACAGTGAGTCTCTGTGTGGCTCCTCGTCATGCTCTGTTTGCAATTCTTCAGTTCATGTGTTGAAGTCGTGAGGAATAACAGATGGCTTTCTTCTTCCCTTTAGGATGTCAGTGCGGTGGGTAGAGATGGGAGAGGGCTTGGGCCTCTCTCCACTGTAGGATGGTAGCCAGCAGCACAGTGGAAGGCCATGACAAGACCCCCTTGTCAAGCACCTCGCCGCAGACCACTCGAACCCAGTCCGAGCAGCTCCGACGCCAGTCCGACCAAAGCCTGAGATCCAGCTCTGCCCGCTCCGTCTACCTGACTCACTTCCCGACTTTCACCTCCAAGGAGGACTGCGACATCATCACCGAGACCGCCGCCAAGCTCGAGTGCAGCGGCTTCTACTGGGGCCCTCTGGGAGTGGAGGACGCCCACCGCATGCTGAAGGACGCCCCTCTGGGCAGCTTCCTCATCCGCGACAGCCGGCAGAAGGACGTCTTCTTCACGCTGTCCTACCACGCCAAAAGCGGGCCGGTCAGCGTGCGCATCGACTACAGGCGGCAGAGGTTCTCGCTGGCAGGCAACGAGCGCTCGTTCTCCACGCTCTTTGCCCTCTTGGAGCATTACATCAGCTCGCCAAAGAGGAGTCTGAGGGTCCCGTACAGGAAATGGGAGCCCACGCTGCAGGAGCTGTGCAGGCGGCACATTGTGGGACTGTGCGGCGAAAAGAGCAAGATTTCGGAGCTGCCGGTCACTCACGTGGTCCAGGATTTCCTGTTGGAGTTCCCTTACAAACTGTGAGCAGCCTGCCACGCAAAGTTCTGATGGTCCTGTTTCTGACTTTAAGGTGGCAGTTTTTACGAAGTAACAGTACACCAGAGGGGCTATCATCGCCTATTCATCATAGACTGAAGATAGAGGCTGCATCACCACAGTTKCAGATAAAAGGAGATAAGTGTTTTCTTCTGGAAAGCAGTGGAACACCTTCAAAGAGACATTCTAACCAAAGTCAAGCATTGGCAGCTTCCAATCAGACCACGTTCCATAACATTTTAACATCTACTACCTCTAGAGACTCTGCTCCCAGTTGCACATGGACAGGGCATCCTCTGGTGTCGAGGAAGTACAGGAAGTTGAAAAATGCTGCATTAAAAGCAAACTACGCACACAACGGCGTGACAGAGCGTGAACTGGAACGATCTGTTGCRCAGAGATGTTGTGGAAGGACATTAAAGGAGCGAACTGATAACTGTTTAAAGTCGTGGTGGAGAGTACGATTGAAACAAGAGGCACCGGGACTATTTCACTTTTGTAGCACTTAAAACACTCTAAAGGTTGAACGTTTACATCGTATCTGAATGTCTGTCCGAACTGAAGGCTCGAGCACCTCTCCTGTCCAAATCCACGTGCAGACTTGGCAAAAGCAAGAAATATTCATTGGTCCTCATCCCGATATATACTTGTACTGTACTGTATATTTAAAAAGGTGTCTCACCACTTATTTAACTGTCCATACAAAAGCAGATGAACATTATTTCTCAAATACATTTTTACCTATTTTTATTTACTTTGGATATTTTAAATAAATATATATTTAAATTAACTTTGATTTTTGTGTTTTTGGGACAGTTCTGCTCCAGTTTATTGTGGTGGGAGAAGAGGGACAGGCACGTTTGCTTGAGGCTGTTTCACATCAGACAGACAGACAGACAGTCAGACAGGAAGTGTGGAAGGTATTGTACAGTATCAACGCCATGAGTCATCTCTGTAGGGCAAAGTGATGGGTGGGTGGGGTTACTTTGGTAGTAAGTGAAGTGTTAGGCAGATATAAACACACTTACCAGAACTAGGGGGAGAGGTGACACATAATGAGGGGTGTGTGTGTGTGTGTGTGTGTGTGTGTGTGTGTGGTACTTTCAATCTCATGTGAACACAGGGCAGATATGAATTTTCATTAAGAGGAAGTGGGAAATTTGCCGGCTTATTGATTAAGACATTTAAAATTCATTTTAGAATTTTAAATCAACAAAAGTATTTAAACTTTTCTAAAACTTACGAGCTGATTAAACTACGACTTGTCAAAGTCACCAGTGTTCACTGGAGCCAGCTAGACTCAAACAATGCGAGACAACGTGAGGAGATGTTAACAGTCACTGATGAATCACTCCCAATCATTCACAGGGGTGTGTTTTCTTTAAAAGTCACCTTTGGAGCAGCCCCAAGCTCCCCTCTGACCTCTTCTTGAAAACGAGTTTACCTGACGGGGTGTGACTGGTTACGGTTAGCTCATTCATACAAAGAAACACATCTATCAGTTCAAACTGAAAGATTCCAGGAAATACACAGGAAGTTCAGAACAGCTGAGGAGGTCACCTTCTGTATGAACTCGTTACCGTTGAGGGGAAAAAAAAGAATGAGGCCGAGTTTTAAACGAGACAAAAAAATTCTACTACAGGGATCCAAGATTAGTTGTAACATTAGACTTTATTTGATAAACATATATTTTAAATGTAAAATAAAAACTTTAAAAATACTGTAGACTGTATGGTTTTTATAATTTTTCAACGCTCTCTGGTTTCATTTAAGAGTCTATCGTCAGATATTGTCCAAGATTAACCTTCAGGGTGGATATAGCTCGCTCACACCGAGGACCTATCCATCATCATTTACCCTGAATTATGTGTAAATAAAATGGCTCCGTCCTTGTTGAAATATATTTTTAAAAATTTACAAAACTAAACAGCCTACAGTATTTTTACAGTCTTTATTTTACAGTTAAAATATATGTTTATCAAATAAAGTCTAATGTTACAACTAATCATGGATCCCTTTAAACATTTTGTCACTACCTATCTTTTGTTTGAAGGTCATTTCCTTCCTTCAACCAGTTAGATAAGCATTCATAATTTTAGAAACCCACTTAAGATCTGAATCGTCATTTTCAGTGTTTGTTGAATTACACTGCAGTTTTTGGAAGCTAAAACCAGCTACTAGTAGGCGTATTAGGTTCATTATCCATAGGTCAAACTATTTCAGTGTGTCCTAACTGTCACATTTAAATGAGCTTCAGCTTTAAATGGGTCTTTTCTAAGGCAGTGACACTTGTGAGAACGTGTTGCTTTATCCCCAGTGATGTCAATTTCACTTCTTATCTGAAGCTGTAACCTTAGCAACCAGTCTGACGCTCAATACCTAACCAGACCGRCAACACAAAAACCTAATTTTACCATGAGACTTTGTGAGCCTAAAGGGGATTTTTACAGACTCTATTAATGTTGCCAAACATACACAAGTGAGTCATACCGAAGACTGTGATCACAAGCGATTTCAAGTAAAGTCTGCCTAGTTAGAGGTAATTTTATCGTCCCAAGGTAGATGCATACCTGGAATGTCTGGAATAGCTTAAACATGAGTCAGCTACACAATGGCTTAAGCACTGTGTGGGTTGACATCACTTCACACCTCGCTTGTGTTTGGACACAAAAGGTTAATGTTTAATATTTCAGTGCAAGTGCATGTAGGTATGATGATGATGATGATGATGAGTGAATCGGGGAATCACTTGAATCGGTTTTACTCAGCACTTCTGTTTCAGGACATTCCCGACTATTTTGAGAAGTGAAAAGTGAAGTGAGGTGTTGTGTGACGGTGTTGCTTATCAGCTGATTTTCGGTGGAATCCTCCGCTTGGACTTTTCTGTTCTTTAAACATACAGAAACTAACATTTCACAGAAGAGGAATGAACTCCTGATTTTAGAAATTTGTTCAGAATCATTAATGGAAAGGATCCTTTTTTTTTCTTTTTTTGTGTCACTTCAGTAGAAAACGAAACCAAATATTAGTTTATTTAGTTTATTTATTTCATCATTAGTGATTTTTTTAAGTGAAGCGAAAATAGAGACAGAGAGAAAAACAGAGAAGTAATTAGAAAGATAGAAAGATTGAAATAGCGATTAGAAATATATTAAATATACACCAACAAAACAC